ACTCCCTCTGTCCTTGCTCTTCCTATAACTTCCAGCAGCTCCTTGTGGGCTGGGCAGAGACAGGCATACAGACAGACCCCTTCCTTCCCTCCCCAGCGTGTGCCAGGCCCACAGAGGTGCAGAGGAGTTGATCTCTCACTGCACCTGTGGAGGTCACGCCAGGGCAGCCAATGGCTATTTCTCCATGAGAAAGATCAAGGTGCCGGGACAGACAGAGGGGGCGGGTGCCCTGAGAGTGCACGGTTGGCTGACACTGGCCCATGGGCACTGCCAGTTCTTTCTCGGGTGCATGAGGGCTGAGACGGTGACTCCCCGCTCCCTTGACCCCGCAGCATGTGAAGAACAGCAGACACACCAACAAGTACGAAGGCTGGCCCGAGGCGCTGGAGATGGAAGGCTGCATCCCAAGGAGAAGCACGGCCAGCTAGCCAGCTAAGCGACGATCAGGCTAAGGAGGCTGCGTGTGCCTGGCCCAGGAGGAGGCAGAAGTGGTGCCAGCGCAGGGCTGAGTCCCGACCCCACACCGGCCAGGAGTGCTCTCTTGTTCAACACATCAGGGCTCCGAGGCCGTGAGCGGTGACCCGTGTGTGACTGGTGGTGGGGACTGCAATGGCCAGTCTCATTGTACGTTGGCAGGGGAGCCCAGGTCCCCATCTCCTTTCCCTAAGGCTGCTTTCCCTAGTCAGCCCCCACCCGCTTCCCAAGGCCCTGGGTGCTCGCCCCCTGGCTGCACAGCCACCTGGTTGGGCAACTTCCGGAACCTCTCCGCCCAGAGCCGCTCACTGCTCTGCAGGCTAGTCCTGTTTCCCATGGGTTTCCTTCTGGTGAGCCACATCTGGCGGCCCATGGCAGGGACCTACCTGGCTGCCTCCTGCCCCGCTCTCCATAGGAAAGGGCCGCCATAGAGCCTGGCTGGCCAGGGCAGTAAAGTAGTGAGCCTGGTCACAGGCCCTGGTGCAGTGGGTGGCAGCTCCTGCAGTGTGTCACAGGACCCGGCTTCTAGATGACCTCTTAATAAATTGGTGCCCCACTGGAATGTATGCACTCAACATGGAGTCGGGTGGTGTTGTCCTTGGGAAAGGGATATGGCCTGGAGGCCCAGCCAACCTACCCCCACAGCCTTAGCAGACAGCCTTTGTCTCCAGAACTCTGCCACGGACATGTCCTGCTGTCGCTGAGCTGGGACTCAGGTAGCAAGCAGAGCAGCTCGCCAGCTGGTAGCCCGTATCCTTGCCCAAAAGAGACAGTTCTGCTCTCTGGACAGGAAACCCACTAACTCCCTCACACACAGCACAAGCCTGTAGGAACACCCGGTGGGGATTAAATCCTGCCCGGCCTCCCACTACACCCAGCCTCCCTGGGAGCTAGTGTGTGTGTCCCCCCGGCACTCAGCTTTGGATACCTTTGAAATCAGGACTGCAAAGGGCAGAGTCATGTGGACTATTTATCATTTCTCACAGATTAGTTCTATTTCCCTTCATTGAACGAGAACCAGCAAGAAACTAGCAGGAGTTTTGCTGGAATACCACATTGTCGGGCGGGGGGGCAGGGGGGCGCAGGTACTATGGTATGGAGTCAGAAAAGGGAGAGAAGTCACTGCCCTAGCCAGTTTGGCTCAGTGGATAGAGCATTGGCCTGCAGATTGAAAGGTCATGGGTTCGATTCTGGTCAGGGCATGTATCTCAGCTGTAGGCTCAATCCCTGGCCCTGGTCAGGGCGCATACAGGAGGCAACCAATCAATGTATCTCAATGGATGTCTCTCTCTCACATCAATGTTTCTCTCTCTGTCTCTCCCCCTCCCTTCCACTCTCTCTAAAAATCAATGGAAAAATATCCTCAGGTGAGGATTAAAAAAAAAAAGAAGAAGAAAAGAAGGCAGTTTAGACTTTCTAAATGGGAGGAATTGGGGCACCAGCCAGGCAGCCACGAGGGGTCCATGGTGGGGGTGATGGACTTACGAGTCCTGTTCTGGAGGTGGGCTTCCTGAGCCTCTGCCTTTTAGGAGTTCAGTGTGGCCAGAGTGTGAGCGAGATGTTAAGAAATGAAAGATTTAAAGAGCAGGCCAAAGAGGAGTGAGGGGGGCATGAAAAAGAGGCCTTGGTTGTGATGCCAGGACTTGAAGGGCTAGGGAAGTTGAGACCCGAGGAGGGCCTAGATTGCTTGCCCAGGAGATGCTGATCATGGAAGCTGACACCCAGCCTGGCCCTGTGTCAAGCACTGTACATGTATCCATTTTTTTATAGACTTTTTTTACTTTTTTTACTTTTTTTTTGCTAATCCTCGCCTTAGGATATTTTTTCTTTTCTTTTCCTTTCTTTTTTTTTTTAGAGATAGTAGAAGGGAGGGAAGGAGTGGGGGAAAGAGAGAAAACATTGATGTGAGAGGAACACATCAACTGGTTGTCTCCCAACTGGGGCTGGGGATCAAACCTGCAACTTAGGTACATGCCCTTGACCAGCAACCAAACCCATGACCCTTCAGTCCACAGGCCAACGCTCTAACCACTGAGTTAAAAAAGCCAGGGCTAGCCCTGACCGGTTTGGCTCAGTGGATGGAGCATCAGCCTGCGGACTAAAGGGTCCCAGGTTCGATTCCGGTCAAGGGCATGTACCTTGGTTGCGGGCACATCCCCAATAGGGAGTGTGCAGGAGGCAGCTGATGGATGTTTCTCTCTCATCGATGTTTCTAACTCTCTATCCCTCTCCCTTCCTCTCTGTAAAAAAATCAATAAAATATAT